GATCCTTCTCTGGCCCATATTCATTTTTTACCTGTCTCCTGCTGACAGGGGCTGTTATGAAGGYGATGGTTGAGGCATCAAGGAAAGGCTGGCTGCAGAATGGCAGGGATCAATCTCGCCTGAAAGGCCCTGGAAAAGGCCYTCATCTAAGTGAGAAAGGGTTAAGGTTAAATACAGAGAAAATGGATCAGAGAACTTAGGAGGGGCTCACAGAGAGACATTTCCACTTTATGCACACTGTACTATTTATTTCCTTCCCCATCACTGCTGATTATAAGGACGTGCATGTGTAAAAGGAAGTTTCTTGGTCTTTAATCAGACCTGCTCTGTTCCACGAATCCACARTCCACCGTTCGTGACGCTACAAAATGAAGCAGGCAGGAGGCTCAAGGCAGATCAGAAAGTGACAGCTTCTGTTTAAAGAGCTATCTCAAAAATTAGTGATGATAGAGGACGGCATTACACTGAAGAATTGCTCAAGTCTTAGCTCTATTTCACTCTCAAAAAAAGAGGTGCAATAAAATTAGTCACTGGAAATCCCTTGGTATAAAAAATTTAAAATGGATGGCTGAACTGTTGCATTTCTAGAGAAACAAAGGCCTGTTTGCATGTGATTCCAGTCCTATAGGTATTGAATGCTGCCTGGATTTCAGGAAAAGGTTGCATCATCCAAAGTTTATCATCACAATTTGGCGTGCATACTACTTCCAACAGTAGTATTTCTGTGTTATGGAACCAATTTTAAGTAGTATATTCCACTTTTTACATGAATTTGATCCCTAACCAGCTTTAGCTTTTGCATGACAGGACCACAGAAGACTGGCTAGAAGACCAGCGATTTAACAAAGACCTGCCCTGCATTGAGCATTGCCCTCTCATGTCCTTCCACAAGGATTTTAACCAGGTGTGCATGCACATAAATATACAATATATACACATGCACATATAAAAACATACACACAAATTTAGTAGTCACATGTCTCATCCTCAGGTTTTTCCCAAATTTTTTATTTTCTAAATAGTACACAATGAACTGTTAACAAAGTTAATCAGTGAAAGCGCAGGACAGAAGCAATTCATTTGGGGTGATGACTGAAGAACCCAGTTTACGCAAATGCGTTATTCTATATACAATGACACAGTCCTGCAATCATCAAGATCATCAGGAATGAGGGTTATCTTCCTGTAACTGGAAAGTTGTGCGATGGACCCTACACATTCCCATTTGTGGTAAGCAGGATGTCCATTAGCGCTGCCCACGATGACTRCCTTCCTCCCTTACTGCTCCCCTTAATTGAGGTCCCACAGCATTAAAATGTAAAGGCAGCTATAGCTCCATCTGCCAGGTGTTCATTTTTTTACAGTGATTCCTAAGCTTAAGGATCTGAGATGCTATTAGGACTCAGAAGTAAGGCCAGAAGTGATTGAAAAGAGCTTTGCRTCACACTCCTTTGTGCATTCCCACCAACTAAGCTGAGAGAAGTCCCATCAGAACAGGAACAAATAGCCCTGCAAAGGCAATCTGACCGCCTGATGCACGCACAGCAGCTCAGAGGTAGCAGTCTGACAAGCTTGAGCTGCACAACTCCAAATGATAACTTTGCAGGGCTACCCAATTGTGCTTTGAAGGCTGCCACTGATCTAGCAGAGCATGACCAAATCCCATTAGAGTGCACAAAAGATGCTAGTGGAAAGACTTACACATTCCAAGTTGTACATCTTGAAAAACTTTTCAACAATATCTTATACGCTATGGAAATACTTGCACATGAAGCAAGTAGCACATGCAACCAAACACGTTCTCGCCAGGGCTTGCAACAAAGGCTTCAAAGCAACAAGTCTACAATGGCATTGGATGCTTCATCAAAGACTATCAGATGGACAAATTCCTCCGCAAGGAACGGCTAACTTCTACATTAGCCATGGTGGCAGATGCTGGTGACTACTCGCTGAACGGTCAAAAGAAAACCAGCTGCTGGGGATGGATCTGCTTTGTTTGCCCACTTTATTCATGTACTTTAAAATTACAGTGCACTAAGCAAGCATTTCTTAAAAGTTTACTCACTCATATGGGGATACTCAGGCTCATTTCAACTCTTATTGTCTTCCTTAATATTTTATGTGAGGAAAAATCAACAGAAAGGCATGTCAGATGGCGAGGTGTCTCCTCCTATTGTGAGCAATACCTGCTGTACAGTTCCTCCTGCAAGTCTACGTGAACAAACAGGTTCATGTAGCCAGGTGAATTGCTAGCCTCAAATATCAGAAACAAGTGTTAACATACTTTGTAGGGGCCATCTACCAACCTGTTTCCCATATCAAAATATGCCAGTCCCACTGAGTATCCTGCCTCCCAGCTCGGCCCGGAGAAGCCGAATCATCTTGTCTGTTCAAAAACTGTATTACATTGTTGACTGGGAGGACCTGCAGTCTTTTTTTCCCTTGAAAACATGCTCTGTTTAAACAAATTTCCTATTCTAGTATTTCTTAGGATAGAAAGGCTTCTTTTAATGCATCATTTCTGCAGGATGCATGGGAGTTGCAGAGTGTGCTCTTAGATATAAAGCAACCTTTGCCTGAGACATATTTCGAATGTCTAGATAGAGCCACATGGGTCTCTCAGCACTATACCTTGTATGATATTTCTTTTTAATTTAGAAAAGGATGAAAAATGGGATTTTTCAGTTACATTTGGCCCAATTAACGTGTGGGTTTTTTTTTTTTTTTTCTTCCTGCAGCTTTTCTCTGAACCAAAGCAGAAAAATGCAAAGCTTTTTTCTGGGCTCCCTCTCCAGGGACTAATATCTTTAAGTACTTCAAGGCCAGATCCAACTCCCTGACATTTGCCTGCCTTGAACTTGCAAAGCACTCACAAGTTTGCTAGCATCAAGAAACTGCAACGATTTTTAGATACATTCCACGTGGGAGGTTTTGCAGCAAAGGCTTCATACAGCAGTAAAACCTCCTGCTTCTTCTGGGTGAACCCGTGTCAGATGACGACAAACAAAATCCTCTGAAGTACACTAAATAGCCAGCCGAGCATGTAACAGTGGAATGGTTCCAGAATGAAGGAGCTCCTCTGTACCCACTTCTTATCGTTCTCATTTACCAAAGAAGTGAACCCAGGCTACAGGAATCCAAGTCAGAAACAGGAATCAGACTAATATTGAACTTCATCTAATACAGTTCCCACGTACCACTTCAACCTCCGAATGTGCAGACCAGCACTACAGGAAGCTCCTGAGATGAGCAGCCAGCTACAACACAGGCCAAATTTACTAARTGGCATGGAGGTAACCCAGGACTTCTGCTCAGTCTTCCATCTTGCACCTCTCCACTTGGATCTGGGCTTTTCTCATCTGCGGTCAAGCTGATGCAACTCCAGCCATTCCCAATCTCCACCTACCCAGCAATCAGCTAAATTGACTTCCAGGTTGAAGTCTCCTTTCCAATGACCTTACTTGAAGGTTCTCAGGGAGCTCCACACRCATACAAATAATTCCAGTCGAGCTACCACCAACCTTTGCCTAAACAAAGCAAAGAGAAACTGTAGCATTCGCCCAAAATACTCCAGCACCTTGATGGGCTTTTTAATTAATAAGGATACAACAATGCCCCCATTTAAAACCATTTTACAGGAAGTACTGCATTCTTGTAAGCCCTTTCATTTAGCAGGTCAAAGTTTTACGCAAAGTGGGTAATGTTTATTTTAAATGATCAAAGTTAATGAGCGCTTAAAGACCTGAACACCCACAGTTTCGTAAGCTAAATTAAGCAGCACAGCGACTCTTTTCAGGCCATCGTTCCAAACCAGGAAAATATTCATGCCCTTCTAATGCCAAATGTCTTTCCTCTCCCTCCCACAACAGGTTTTATGATTTTCAGTGACACCGTAATGAAACTGAGATAACAGCAGAATGCACAGAGATGTTTAATTCAGTCTGAGATCTCACCACCTCAGAAAAGAGATAAGATTCTACAATTTATTCCCCTCCTTCATTACAATTACCATGCTAATGCTTCAGATAATTCCTAACCCAAACTTCTGGCCCCAAGTCTGTGGGAAGATGAGATAGCAGATCTAATCAGATGACAGAGATCTTGCAAAGACTGCACAGCACAATTTCCCCTTTGTAGTAATAGCTGCACGTTCCCCCGTTTTCCTACTGGAATTCGCTACAGGACGACAAAACTTCATTATATACACATGGCAGGATGTTAAGATAGTATGTCCTTTAAGAAGTTCTAGCAAAATCCCAAGCTGCATCCAAATGCAAACACTGSAACAACAAAGTGTGCAGTGGCAAAAAAAGGAAGATTGCTTACACTAATGAGGTCTCTCCCGGTTAACTCTCTAAGCCCACAAGTCTTTCCTTCACCTACAAGAAGCAAAGGGCTCCGGTACAGGCGCTCAGCTGCATGAACATGAAAAACCATCAGCCCGCAGTTACGACCCTTTTWTGGCTGCCAAATTAAAAAACACAGTACCAGTGAAGCTACCTCCACCATTAATTTGGGGCACCAGTTCATGCAAATTACTGAGGACCATTAGGCAAGAARAAAATGCACATTCACTACTGATGATGATAATAAATTAGTAAATATTAACAAATCTAACCATAACAAGAAATGCTCTCCTTCACTGACTCACTACTCAAAGCCACGAAAGAGGCACTTGACTCATCTAACAAGGGACCTCCCCGAGAACAGAGGAGAGGCCACCTCTGGCACAGCACTGCCCACAACATCCCTAGCAGCGAAACCACGGCACGCAACATAATTTCATCCCAGAAAAAAACACGATAAACAGTAAAAAATAAAATGCATATGCACTGAGCCTTAACAGGGCTTTCACAACTGCTCAGGTCTTGGTTTCACTCCAATACTGTATGGAATTCCAGCCGCGGCATGCAAGGACAAGCCATGGCCCCCATCCCAAGCCCCAATCCCAGGCCCCGTGCCCACCACGCAAAGGGTCACAGGAAAGGGCCATTACTCACAGCAGGGTGTCCAGCGCAGTAGGTGTAGCTGGCGTGGGACTGGTAGTGCAAGCTCGCTCTGGGAAAGGTGTACGTGCTCCAGGCCGGCGGGCTGCTATTCCACTGGGAACCAAAGCCAGGGCTCATGGTCACTCGCGCTTTGCTGTTTTGGTACGTTCTCACCGCGGAGCTGGACTATTGGAAAAGAGAGAAATGCAATGTAAAAAGGCCTCTGAGAGCAGGAAGCAAACCACGTGGCTATGCGCTAACGCAGTCCATATACACACTGCTGGCGGCAGCAACCCCAGCGTTTCCAGTAAGGAACTGGGGGGAACAAAAGCCGCTGCCTTTAAAGGTACCAGTGGGAAAGCCCCATGTTTAACACCCCAAAGTCAGGCTGAATGGCTGCTGGGCTTCAGGCTGGCACGTAAATCAAACAGTAGAAAGGTACGGGGTTAAGGGAATGTCTTGGAAAAGCATGTCGGGAGCAATCTCACCAGATGAGATTCCAACTTCCATCTTTATTCATTATTATGAAGTGAGTATTGATATTTACCGTGCTGCTGATCAGCTAAGCCTGTTTCACAGTAAACGGCAATTTAGTGCCCATATTTAGAAGGGATTTCAAGACTTCAASGAACATGTCTGGTGGCTACGTAAGGCCAAAATCTTACAAATCTACGCAGACATTGCAAACATGTAACCTTCAGAACAGCCTATTAAACTTCGTGACCTTTTAAAATTACTTAAATTGTAAGACAATTATTACCATATGCAAAGCTGCTCCTTTAAAAGCATTAAATTTACGGTGACCTTACTAACAGTAAGGTCTGCAGTGAAAGCTCTTCACATATGAGTACAAATAGTATTTCTTAGAAATGCTTATAAATGTCCCTGCTGGTAAATTGATGCTATCGATTTCAAAAGCGGTATTCTCAAGAATGACKCTCCATTCATTTTGACCCTCCTTTCACAGGCGACCTTTTACACACAGTATATGTTGCATTAAACAAATATCAATATGGGCCATCACTGAACGAGATGTTATACACAGCCCATCCTTACCCCAAGGTGCTTACAGGATAAATAGGAAAGGCGAAGGAGGAAAGGGAGTTTGAGGCATAAACAGGGAAAACAGCTTTGCAACATCAACTTTTAGGTTCATTTTGCGGCTTCAGCTCAGTTTCTTTAGGAGAGGATTAGTGAAATGCAAAGAGAAGGGGTGGGAGAGAAGATGCACAAGAAAGACTTCACGTCCTAGCTGTAAGAGCAGATCCCGTGCACAGTCTTTCCAATTTTCAACACTGCACTGAGATGAGCTGCTCGCAGAAACCACAGGCCAGGGCACATGCCGTTTTTATTCCATTTCCACCAGTTTAAGTACATAAAGTTTCGCCTCGGTTATCAGCCGCCGCACAAGCTTCAAGTTCAAGCCAAGGCCAGGGGACTTCCTGCGGGTGTTTATTTCCTGCGCCGCCGCTGAGGAAGCCCCAAAAAGCGCCGTTTCCGCCCAGCGTCCCGCAGCACCACCCGCCCCAGCCCCCGGCTCCTGCGTTCCCTGTTCCCAAGGTTTCCCTGCGCACCAGGCGAGCACGGGGCACGTGAGGGAACGCTAAAGCCCACGCTGACCTCTCATCAGTCACCGCGTGGGACGAGCGGTTATTTTGTTCTTACAAAAGGCTTTTTGGGGGCAGAAACAAACAAAAAAAAAAAAATCTGCTTGGACAGTTAAAGGGGCTTATTTGAAATTTTTTTTTTTATCAATTTAAATCATGACAAATCAAAGGAAAGGGACTATGGCTACAACTAAAAACAAATAAAACCAAACAAACAAAACCCCAAAGTTTTAATAATTTTTTTTAATGTCTTTTCCTTTTCCCCTCTTCCCATAAGGAGCAGAAAGTGTATTTCCTTTCCTTTGACATATCACTTATCTTTCCGATCACTCCTCAAAGACAAATCTCTCTTCCTGGGGCYTGGCAGACTTGCTTGTACATGAGAGATGGGGCCTCAGGTTTGTTTCAGGCAGATCAAGCTGCTTTTTAACCATAATGTACTTCTTCGTGTGCATTTCTCCCATTTATAAACACATTCAAGAGAGGCTGCCTATCAACTTTTACAACAGATTTCCTCCCAGGTTTAACGTTCTATGAATATTGGGCAACCCTCCTAACAAGACTTTCCCCTCTCCTTTCCATTGTTTCTGATCAGTCTGCATTGTATGGACCAGTGGAAAATATCTAGGGCTGACGGGATGTGGATTATAAATTGTTGTAATTATCAGCTCATTATTTTCTTCACGGTAGTGAACTGCGTTACAGTGGGACAGACACGCTATCAGCATCATGCAGACAYACACAACACCCATTCCCATACTTGAGAACGGAAGCAAAAAGGGCCTCTTTTTAAGTACTGCACCTCCATGAACTCCTGCTTTTTACCCCTCATCCTCCATGAACTTCTGCTTCTTGAGTCTGACCAGCTCCTGCCTCGTTTGGTGCCACAGGCTTCCCGCCACATCAAAGAACATGAGGTGTTGTGGCCACCACCAGCTGAGACCCAGCCCAGCTCCTGGTCCTTACATAGYTAAGAGGGGTAACTCCCCTTGCTCCCTTCCAGCTCTTTACCTCAGCTTACATCTTAAGGGACTTATTTTAAGCCATTCAAACAATAAATGATGTGCTTGGTAAAACATCTGCCACTTAGGACCACTTAGAAGCGGCAAAGTCAAATAGCAAGCACCCTCCTCTCTCCTCCCCATCAAAACTGTGCAGCCTGCACGTGGGAGGAAGGATTTACAAGCATTGCCATTATGTGAGGAGTTCCCTCTGCTCCCAACAATTCTGTAGCGAAGTTACTATTTTTGACCTGATAAAAGTCTCTCTCTTTTTGCTGGCTTTCCTCCAGAAAAGAAATGTCAATATGCAAAGGCACTCCCAGGATAATTGGCCTTGAAATCTTGAAGATATCCAGTTTATCAGCCAGAGAAAACAGACATTCACGCTGCCAGCTTCTTGCAGTCTCTGCTCCTCTGATGACTCCATCCTACAAGGATGGTCAAGGAAGGGAGACATGAGCTCAAGGACTCTAAAAGCRGAATTGGTCCAAGCCTTTGATTCAAGGTGTTTACTCAACAGCAAGCTGTTGTTCATCTGTCTAAACCCTTCCCAGTAAAATACAGAGGAATTCTGCAGGAATATGTGCTATTTAGCACTGTCAAGGAGACCGAGGGAGAGAGAGGGAAGGGGGGGAGAGGGGGAAAGGGAGGGGGAGAGACTGCAGTGTCATTCACTAGGCCAACCAGTAGAGCTGGGAGGGAAAAAGTGGTGAATCTTGAAAACTATCAGTATGAAAYGAGGAACTGTTGCTCTCCATGCTATGTTTTACCAAAAGCAATAAACTTCCAAAACCGAAGAAGATTCTTTTTACCTGAAATAAGTCATTTGCCTAACTTTGTCCCCACAAAGGTCTTAGCTAACCTAAAACTGATTAAATGCCTAAATATATTTTAAAATATGACCCTATTTCTTTTGTGCCTTAGTTTCTCTGGCTTCCAAGCATGGATAACTTATTTCTGGGCTAACTTTTCCCTCATACTTGCAATGGTTGTTAACATTTTTGTACACAAGTGTGAGTGAAATATTATTAATATTATCACTCTTTCCCWAGCTTAACTACTTTCAGGTCTTAGTTCTTTTAATAGCTGGTGTGTGAAGGCTAACGAAGTTAAAAAATAGAACAGAGTATTTATAGAGCACTTTTCATCTTCAAAGCACTGCACAAACTTTAAATAGTGACAAAAAATCTGACTGGTATAGCATTTCCAGCTTTTTAAGCAGTTTAGAGTAGATCTAAGAAACAGCCGCCACTCCTTCCTACTCGCATGTGAACCAAGTCCATCATTTGAGGAGGACATTCAGCAATGCAGGTTCTGACAGAAGTCTCCAGCCCATTCCCAGATGTGCTGTCCTTCCCTGCAAGGCAGCACCATCCTGCAGGAAACCRGGAGGAGAAGCGTGCTGATCCTCCACTCCGTGTCACCCTGAATCGAAGGGCGCCTATCGCACACCCTTCTGCCAGCTGCTCTGGGACACTGGGCTTACTTGGTACTCCAAGAGAAGAGAAAGAAGGAAAGGAATGCAAGGAAATGCCTTGCATTAGCCCTCTAGTTGCACTGACTTCACACACACAGGATTAAAAAGGTGTAAGGAACATCTGAATTCAGCCTCCCACTACCTCATCTTTCACAGCAGCTTCCCAGAGCTGTGATGTCAGTCCCTTAGCCCACACACTTTGGGCTGTCTCCAGTCCCTTGGATTTTGATCCTGAATGCTTCTTTCTTCAGCTGCATCTTGTGTTTTTATTTTTTTGTGCAAAGAAGCTGTGCCTGAAAAGGTCTGACTCTTCCTCTCCCCTGGCCCCTCTTTCCAAACGCTATTTTGGAGATCCAACTAGAGAAAGTGCCATTCTGGAGATGCTCCTTGGGGGGACTCTGTAGAGCTGTACATGGATCAGACCATGATGCAAAGCACAGCCCTCTGCTCTGAAAACTTTGGATGCTTTACAAGATGCTACCGTTCCCATAGAAATCAAAAGTTTTCCCGTAACCTGGAAGAATCTGAAATGAAAATAGCTGCCCTGGAACGTTATTGCCTGAACTAAGATGATGTCTTTGTTTTCTTGCTCAAAAAAATAGGYGATTGGCAAAACTAAAGTTATTTCATTGCAAAATCACACAAGAGACCTTAAATACTGTGGCAATTGTGAAATGCAAGAGGGTGGATTTTCTCTTCTTTTTGAGTTACTCTGAAAACTAAATGTGGAGGCTAATGCGGGTGATTATTTTTGTTAAGAGCAGGAAAGAGTAATTTTGTGCTGCTCTTTTCCCCAACACAATCTTCCACAACGGCTTGAAGATCTTTTGGACTCTAAAACCAGATTCCATCTGTTCCTGTAAGAACTGAGCCTGTTAATATTTGGCCACTGCAGATTTTGAGTTTATCAAGTTTGTGCCTCAACCTTTATGAAAAGCTTCACAGACATGTCCGAATTCGAGAGAAACATTGTTTTTCCAGACATGGGACTGAAACCCAATACGCTGTACCTGGAAAAAACAGGATAAACTGAGAGAAATTACATTCCACCGTAACCGCAGAGCAATGAGGGGGTTATATTTCATATCTTAGCATACATAG